ACCTTCAAAATAAAACTAGTGAGAAGAGATAAAGGGTACTACGTACTAATAAAAGGATCTCTCCTACAGGAGGATATAACAATTCTAAATATCTATTCACCAAATTTATCCAAGAAACACTACTTTCCCTAAAATCACACATATATCCAAAGACATTGATTGTCAGTGACTTTGAGACACCACTTTCCCACTGAATAGAACTCAGCAAAAACTCAACAGAGAAACAGCAGATCTAAACAACTGCATAGACCACCTAGACTTAACAGACCTCTATAGAATATTTGACCTATCAGCAACAGAATACACATTCTTCTCAGCAGTACATGGAGCATTCTCCAAAATAGACCACATTTTTAGGCCACAAAGCAATTCTGTCCAAATACAGAAACATCGAAATTACACCCTGCATTCTCTCAGACCACAAGGGAATAAAATAAGAATTCAGCATCAAAGTCCAACAAAGAAAATCCTGTAACACATGGAAGTTGAACCACCAGTGGTCATGAAAGAGATTAGAAAGGAAATTCAAATTTTCATGATATTTAACAAAAATGGACATACAAACTACCAGCTCCTCTGGCACACAGCAAAGGCAGTACTCAGAGGAAAATTCATAGCTCTGAGTTCTTACATCAACAAATTGGAGAGATCTCAAATCAACAATTTAATGATGCACATGAAGCTACATGAAAAAGAGCAACAGGTCAAACCCCAATCCAATAGATGGAAACAAATAAAATTAAATCAGAATAAATGAATTAGAGTCCAAAAAAATAGAAAGAATCAACAAAACAATGAGTTGGTTCTTTGAAAAAATTAACAAAATTGACAGACCCTTAGCAAATTTATCAGAAAAAGAAGAGAACACACCCAAATAAACAAACTCAAAGATGAGAATGGAAGCATCACATCAACAACCAAGATTCAGAACATTATAAGAGAATACTTCTCAAACCTTTACAGTAGTAAGTTTAAGAATCTGGATGAAAAGGAAAAATTTCTAGCAAATATTGATGTGCCCAAACTAAACCAAAATGAACCCACAGACCTATAGCTACCTAATCTTTGATAAGGGAGCCAGAAAAAATAGAATAGAAGAAAGACAGCCTCTTCAGTAAACGGTGCTGGCAAAATTGGTTAATCACCTTTAGAAAACTAAAGCTAGATCCTTATATATCACCCTGCATCAGAATCAACTCCAAATGGATCAAAGACCTCGAAATCAAAGCAGACAACCTAAAAACATTACAGGAAGGAATAAACTATAGGGCTCCTTGGCACAGGCTGAAATTTTCTTAATAAAGATTCAGAAACACAATAAATCAAAGAAAGGTTGGATGAATGGGATTGTGTGATACTGTAGAGCTTCTGCATGGCAAGGGACATAGCTAGCAAGATCAATAAAAAACCCACGGATTGGGAGAAGATCTTCACTAGCCATCCAACAGACAAGGGCCTCATATCTAAAATATACTTGGAACTCAAAAAATTAAATCCCCCAACAACAAATCCTCAAAGAAACAACTGCTCCATCAACAAGTGGGCTGAAGACTTAAAGAGAGACTTCTCTGAAGAGGAAATAAGAGTGGCCAATAGGCACATGAAGAAATGCTCAACTTCTTTAGCCATGAAAGAAATGTAAATCAAAACAACTTTGAGATTCCACCTCACCCCAGTTAGAATGGCTATAATCAAGAAATCTAATAACAACAGATGCTGGAGGGAATGTGAACAGAAGGGAATCCTACTATACTGTTGGTGGGAGTGTAAACTTGTTCAACCACTCTGGAAAGCAGTATGAAGGTTCCTCAAAAGACTACACATAGAACAGCAATCCCACTTTGGGGCATATAATCAAATGAAGACAAACATGGCCATACTAAAGTTACCAGCACAACTATTTTGTTGCAGTATTATTCACCATAGCTAAGATATGGAATCAACTCAGATGCCCCTCAGTAGATGAGTGGATCAAGAAAATGTGATACACACACACACACACACACACACATACATACACACAATGGAATCCTATGCTCCCATCAGAAAGAATGACACCACCCCATTTGTTAGGAAATGGAAAGACTTGGAAAAAATCATATTAAGTGAAGTGAGCCAGGCCCAAAGAAACATAGGTTGGGGCTGGGAAGGTGGCTCAGTGGTAGAGCACTTGCCTTGCATGCCTGAGGCCCTGAGTTCAATTCCTCAGCACCACATAAGCAAAAAGAAAAAAGCCAGAAGTGGGGCTGTGGCTCAAGTGATAGAGCGCTAGCCTTGAGCTGAAGAGCTGAAGGACAGCGCTCAGGCCCAGAGTTCAGGCCCCACGACCAGACCCCCCCCCCAAAAAAGAAACATAGATTCCATGGTTTCCCTTATTTGCAATAACTAATATATGTCTGGGACAAGCAGAAAAGGTCAAAAGCGATGTACATATGACCATATAAGATGATGTTAAGTGAAATGAACCCCAAGACAGGGACACAGTGGTTTTTTTTTCTTGTTTGCTATTGTTTCTAATGTACTTATAATGTACTATATGATTTTTTTTGTTTCTTTTGCATATTCTTCCCCAACAATATAACCCCTGTTTTCACTGTATTTGATTTCAGTGCCCTAAATCTTGTATATACACTTTTCTAATTTGGGAGGGGAAGGAAAAAAACAAAATGCTTAAATAGGGATAGAGGTTGACCCATTGTAACAATGAGATGTACAAGACACTATGTTGAAAACGAACTTTACAACTTGTGGCGGGGAAAGAGGAGTTGGAGAGGCAGGGAGAGAAGGAATGGTAGGGGGAAAACAAAGAAGGAAGTATCAATGCTTGATAGGAAATGTACTCATTACCTTACTCATGTAACTGTAACTCCTCTGTACACTATTTTTACAATAAAAAATGTATTTAAAAAAAGAATCTCATGGACTTTCCTGACTTGGCTGGCTTCAAACCATGCTCCTAAGATCTCAGCCTCCTGAGTAGCTAAGATTACAGGCATGAGCCACCAGCACCCAGCCACATTAGAACATTTGAGCCAAGCCCCAAACTTCTTATTTTTTGTGTGTTTTGTTTTGTTTTATTGTGTTCTGTTTTGTTAAGGCAGGATCTTGGCTATGTAGTCCAGGCTTGTCTAGAACTATGTATCCCAGGATGGCCACAAATTTGAAATTCTCCTATCTCAGCCTCCTATTTGCGAATTACAGATGTGCACCCCCCATGCTTTCACTGCACAAGGGTAGAAGTCAAGCTCTCCAAGGCCCTGAGGAGAGCAGGCAGAGGTGGAGGAAGGTTCATGGCACATGACTACAATACAGCAATTGCTGTCTAAAACTTTTCTGTCTTAATAAGTTGCTTATTTTCTGGTCTTCTGACTGGAGAAAACCAGATGTCAGAATTGGTTTGGGTTTTTTGTTGTTCGTTTTGTCTGTTTCTACATAACCAATCTCTCCACCATCAAATTTAGGGTATATTTGACCAAAATATTAGATGTTCCCTACAGTGTCATACTTTGTTTTCTAATTTATACTCTATATTTTATGTATAATGTTCCTATTTTATTTTCAGTATTGGGGTTTGAATCAGGGCCCTACTTGCTAAGCATCCTAACTAGTTACACCACACACACACCAGTTTATTTTTGCTTTAGTTATTTTTCAGGTAGGGTCTTACACATTTGTCTGCGACTGACCTCTAACAGATCCTTGTATCTATGGCCTTCCATGTCACTCAGATGCTAGTTCATATTATTATGTTCAATTATTTGTAGAGATGAAATCTTGCTAACTTTTTGCCTGGGTCATCAATCCTCCTGATCTCTGCTTCTGGAAAAGCTGGACTATAGGCAAAGATGGGGGACAAACGCAGGGAGAATGATGGAAGGGAAGACACTGATTTAGAGCATTGTACTTATAAACTGACATGTTGAGTTGAAACTTCTTTGTACAGCTACTTAGAGATAAGATTTTTTTAAGAAGTAAATAAAACAAAAATAAGTAGCTACAATTAAACAAGAAGCCTATGTCACCATTAAGTAGAAAATTCAATGGCCTGAATGCACATTGAAAGTTTGATTCATTAACAATGCCATTCCTTGTCAGGGATTTTAATAAATGTGCATCTAGAATTACTCATATAATAAAAGCAGGAAACATCTTATACTGACTAAACATTCATTATACATAACAAAAGGGCAGGACTCTGTTCCCCAGGAAGATGACTTGGCAGCTGGTGCTCACTGAAACAGGTAAAAATAAGGAAGCATAAGGCAGTCTCCTCCTTCCTCCCAAGGGACTCTGGGGGGAAAGGCACTTTTGTTCCTATTCTATGCTACCCGGTGCCAACTTCTTTTCCCCTAGATTGTTCTCCCTAGCTAACCCCCCATGAGTACTCCCTCAGCATGAGCAGGGATGACCTGGGGAATTCAAGAATTCACACACAGCCCCACCAAACCCTCTGGCCCAACCCCCTCCTCTCCACTGTTCTATCCATAGAGGTCCATCTGCATGTAAGACACATGCCACGTCACATCAACCTAGGGACAAAAGTAGGATGACCACAAGAACCACATACAATATGTGGCAGGCAGATGGAGAAGGCAGGAAGCTTGAGAGATCTGCTCACGGAGCTCAGCTGGTCATTCTTATAAAGAGAGCCAGAAACCACAGCACCTGCTATGTAAATCTCAGAGGCCAAGCCCTGGAGGGGCAATAACCCTTACACAGTTGCTGTTTTCCCTTTCATTAAAGAAAGCCAAGAACTCCTGCAGCCTCACGGCCTACTGGGAACAAAAAAGGCAACCGCAATTTCCGGAATGGGAACAAAAGCCTGGAATAACCTGGAAAAGGGTAAGGAAAAGGCCAAGAAAAAAGAATCCTCCGCCGAAAATCCCGAACAAAAAAGAAGAAAAAAGGAAAAAAACAAAAAAAGAACCCCTTCCCAAAGGAACCCCCTCCCGGCCAAGGGGGCCCAACCCGGGGAACCAAAAAAAGGAACCAACCAAGGCAACTAGAAAAAAGAAAACTGAACCAAGTTAAAAAACAATGGATGTGGACCACAGAATCCCCTTCTGTTCTGGTGGGTACCAACTAAAGGACAGTCTAGATTATGTTATTGTCCATGGATTGCAGCTGAGACAAAGCCAACCAACCACTCTGGACTCTATTATGATTGGTGAACAAGAATAAAATATTGACCCACAGACTTCAAGATATATATCAGATACAAATCAGGTAAGGAAGCCATCATCCCTCAAAGCTTGCAGAAACCAAACTGAGCCATTGTGTTCCTGAACACTAGTGATTTTCTGTGCAATGCTGGCCTGAGAGAAGCTCTCCCAATTAGCCTAATTATGATAAATAAAACACAAAAATGGGGCTTGGAGATGTAGCCCAGCAGTAGACCACTTGCTTCACGTGAGCAAGATTTTCTGTTCTTTGAATTGCTAGATCTGAGGAATATTTATGGTGAAGGTAGTTTATCAATAGTGTTCAATATGATTTATTGGTGTGCATTTACATTTGCTTGCTTCTCCTTCTCTTTCTCCATCTACTTATCCATTTTCCTATTTCTTCCTCCTCCTCTCTGGCCCCCTTCCATTTCTTCCCTCTATAAGCAGTTTCTAATTTGTTCTGAGAGTGCAATTGTGCTAGGAGTCAAATGGGAAGTAGCTACAGTGGTGCAGTGATGAGAACTATTTATTGAATGTTCCCCTCGCCCCTCAAAAAAATCAATTTCCATTACCTCCCACTGTCTTATAGGCACTGCCTTTCTTCAGCAAGCTGATCTTCTCAATGTCAAGTCTAGATTCATAGTTCTGGCAGAGCCTCACACAGATGCTTTGGAGACATCCTTTGCCTCCAAATAATGAACACCATGCATGTTAAAATTTTGAACCACTTCTCACTGAGCCTCATCTTCACCATTCCTGTCAGTTGCCACTGTACTGTATTGTATTCTAAAGCAGGTATTGCTTTTGAACAGCCCTAGGCTTTCACTTTTCATGTTAAATGTCCAAGATACACCCTGACCTGGCTAGCTCATCTCTTCCTTTCCCATAGTCCAGACTCCACCTCTCCATTTGTAAAAGATTCTCTTCTTTACAATACCAGGGAAGTTCTTACCTTTTTTACACTCTTAGTTTAAAGATTATAAGAAAAGGATTGACAAATGGAAAAAATGCTTATATGCATGTCATGTTTAAATTATATTTGTAATATAAATTTTAATATTTGCATATAAATACTGAGAATGCTATCAATGTTAGAATATTCCCTTATTTAATGATACAGCTTTATCATTTCTAAAGACCTAATATGAATGTATCCACATGATTTTTTAAAACCAATAATCTTTTATGATACTTGGGAGACTAAATCAGAGGATTACAGTTCAAATCCAGCACAGGCAAAAAAAAAAAGTCCATGAGACTCCATCTCCAATTAACCAACGAAATGCCAAATTAGAGATTGGAGGTATGGCTCAAGTGGTAGAGTGACAGCCATAGCGTTCAAGCCAAGCAAGAGTGCAAGGTCTGAGCTTAAAGTCCAATACAAACACAGATACCCACACACACACACAAAATCAAATAATATACAGTATACATGCTTACAAACAATATGCAGAAGAGTAGAAGATAAGAGATGTTATTGTGTTTCCTCTGCAATCTCAGAAAATATCTACTGGGTCATTTGTGTAATCTTTAAGAATTATCTTGTGTGTGTGTGTATATACATATACATATATATGCATATACATATACATATATGAATGTATATGTATATATGTATATGCATATGCATATACATATATATGTATATACACATAAGATAACATATATATGTATATGTATGTGTGTATACAGAACTCCATTTAACAAGATTGTGGTATCAGACCAGACAACTCCTGCGACCTGAATTTTCACAAACACTTACCATATGACTAGATAGAAATCAATTTCACTTTATTGGCTGCTTTGTAATACATTGTAAAGCCCTATCAAAAGTAGTTTAGCCAGTCACTGATTGTCCTTTCTTATAATCCTACCTATTTAGGAAGCCAAAATCTGAGGTTCATAGTTTGAAGCCAGCCCAGGCAGGAAAGTCTACAGATTCTTATCTACAATTAACCACCAAATAGCTAAAAGTAAAGCTGTGGCTCAAGAAATAGAGTGCCTTCCTTGAGCAATAAAGCAAAGGGACAATGCCCAGGCCCTGACTTCAAGCCCCAGTACTGGAAAAAATAAAATAGTCATTTGTGAACATTTCAGTATTCATCTTTTAAACACATTTTCAATGCACAATCTTGTATATGCATCGAGGCACATCCCAATTTCTGCCCTTTGCTGTCACAGGCCATTTATTTGACCTCTCTGCACTCAAGATTTCTCACCTCATTTATGAAACAAGGAATCATTTTAATTTTTAATTCTTAGCATCTTGGGGGCAAGATAATGCTTATATGTCTGCCAAGAAATAACTTTCTGTTGGCTACATTCTTCATTAACTATTTTGCACACTTCCTTTCCACTTCTAATTTATCTCTTTTCCTACAACTTGATTGTCTCTTTCTTCATCTTAACTAGCAGACCTGAGTCTTCTAGTAGAGTCTGGTTAACTAGGTAGAATCATGTGATTCTGTTAGCTAACACAACTTGTAAAGCTCCCAATGACAGAATCAAATAATCTACCTCCTTACCTTAGAGTTTACAGTTACAATTTCTCTTGTAAATCTTAGTATTGCCATGGTCGGTATTAACATTTGGTCTATTATAATTTATTGTGTCTGATTAATTACTGATTTTCAGTTCATTTTTATTTGTTCTGCAAATATTTCTTGAACATTGGACAAGTGAAGATGCTGAACTGAAACTCCTGAACACTTTCAAATAAAACAAAATAATTTACAAGCTAAGAAAATAACTTTCAATCTAATTGCTCTTATTTATTAATTGCTCTTATTTGCCCAGAGAGTGACCACCAATAATAGCAATTAATTATTCTGAGCCTAGTAACCTGTCTGCATACTCTGTATTCAGGTCACCTCCTTGGGGATAATCTGAGAGAAATCAGTCACTTGAATTGAATCATGAAAGACAACCTGCTCTTTACATGCTAACCCAGGTGAGCAAAGATGTTCCCAAACAAAATGAATATTTTATAAAAAGCTAGAAGCCACAGTAGAACTGTAAGGAGTTTAAGGTAGTAGCTGCAATGTGTGGAAAGGGAGAGGACTGAAAGATGAATCAGGAAGCAAGACTATAATCAGGACTCAAAACAAAGTCTTCAGTAGCCATCCCTGATACATTACTATGGAGATGCATGGCAGGCTAAGATTCCATGATATCTCCAAAGACAGTACTTGTTTCATTTCAGCGAGATGGACACTCCAAGACCAAGACAACAGACCAAGCCACCAAATAAAGCCTATTTCTCTACTCTATCAAACCACATTTTTGTAAGCAGTCATCTGTAGCTCAATTCCAAAATGCATTTCAAAGATATGAGCCTGGATTTGATATATATTAAATCTACCCTTTTTTTCTGATTCTATGGCTTGAACTCAGGGCCTGAGTGCTGTTTCTGAGCTTTTGTGCTCAGTGTTTGCATTCTACCACTTGATCCACAGCTCCACTTACAGCTCTGTGTGTGTGTGTGTGTGTGTGTGTGTGCGCGCGCGCGCGCACGCGCGCGCGCAGACCGCACGCAACTGAAGAAAAAAGTATCATAGAGTTTCCTATCTAGACTGGCTTCGAACCAAAATCCTCAGATCTCAGCCTCCTGAGTAACTAGGATTACAGGCATGAGCCAACAGCACACAGCTTTTAATCTCCCTTATTAGAATATCATCATAGCAAAGGAGAAGTCTAAACAGAAATTCATTCTTAACTATTGTGAACTGATAGAAGCCAATGAATTCTGTAATTACACCAAACAAAATTTTTCCTTCCAACAGTTCCCCCACCCCAAGAGAAATTGTAATAACATAGCTATTTTTCATTTACATCTTTTTCTTTATAATTTATATTTAGGCTGTTTTTAAATAAATAGATAAGTAGTCCAGATGTGGTAGATTGCTAAAGAAATGGATCATAAAACATATTATCTTCTGAGATTCTAGATCTCACCTAAGAAAGCAAATACTTTGTCAGGGAAGCCCTTGGGCTTCCACACCTGCTTGAAAAGAAGTTAAGCTTTAGCAACTGATTCAAGGCTCTGTTCCTCTTTAGTGAGAAAGGTTTTTGTACAGCAATACAATGGAGAACTATCACTGTGGTGGACGTTCGGCGCAGGGACCAAGCTGGAAATCAAACGTGAGTAAAATCCAAACTCTCCTTCCTTGGTTTTGTGTGTCTCTTGGTCTCTGTGTCTCTGAAGTGATCTATAAACTAACTCTGAGAAACCAGACTCTAGCATCTTCTGAGGCATAGCTAAAGTTGATCTTTGTAAGCAGGCTTGAGAATTGATTGTACATATTCTTTGGAGATCAAGAGTCAGTCATTGGGTAAGAATAAACTTTTCCAAGCAATAGTTTCAAAAATGTATGAGGAAGCATCATAGCATGATCCAGAAAGAGCCTTGCTCAACTCTTAGAAAGGGAAAGTTTTTGTACATGAGGGAAGTTCAGAGACACCACTGTGTGTACACGTTCGGCAGCGGGACCAAGTTGACAATCAAACGTAAGTATCTTTTTCAACTGATTCTTCATTATTTCTATCTCATCATTTGCTTTGTGCTCCCTCTTGATTTTTCTATTAGTTGGGTGTCAGAAATGTTAACAAATTCATTTTCAGACTAGGCAGGTAGGGAAATTGTTGCATAGGAAGCTGGCTGGACCTTTTTAAGCTAAGTCAGAACAACTTTATTAAGGGAAAGGGATGATTACACTTCTAGAAAGGTTTTCGTCAAGGGAGAAATTAAATTGAATCACTGTGATTCACTTTCGGCCAAGGGACCCAATTGGAAATCAAACGTAAGTACATTTTTGCTCAATTATTTGTGGAGTTTGGGCTTCATTTCTAGGATATTTTAGTTAAATGAACCATTCTTAGTGACCCAAAAGTAATTAGAAAAATACCAGAAAGTATTCCACTTAAAATATGAGCAGATAGTTCGATTTGTGAGGAGACAGTCAAAAAAATAATGTTTTCTTGGAATTTGGCTGACTGGCTTTGAGGAAAGGTTTTTGTTGAGGGACAAATGACAAAGTCGTTACTGTGGCTCACGTTCGGTGGAGGGACCAAGTTGGAAATCAAACGTAAGTGCACTTTTCTAATTCTTTTTTCAAATAGAGGTGTAAAATATGGGGAGTTTTCATGTTTGTCTTATAAGCTGAGATCAAGCCCGAAAAGAAAATGTTCAAGTCCAAAATGCACATGAGTAAGAGTGAAAATTTGTTCAGCTCAAGAAAGAGCAAAGAACTTGTCATCTAAATTTTCAGATTTTCACTGCTTAGCAATTGATCTGTTGGTATTTGTAGCAAACAAATTTTGTTGAAGAAAAATAATTAAGCTAATATCTGTTTATCACCTTTGGCAAAGCAACACAATTGGAGCTTAAGTTTTCTCTATTGCCTTCTGAAATTTGTGTCTAATTACCACTGGCATTTTTTAGAAGTATATGTAGGAGTTTTATGGACTGAGTAAATGAGAATATTTCAGATTTATCAAACTCAGCTTCAAAACTGGATTTGGAGATCAAAAGATTGAGTTAAGCCAAGCTGAATGATTAAATATAAATAAATAATGTAGATGAAAAAGACTCAGAACTGTAAAGAACAAAAGTAAATTTTATTGAATTTTGACATATAGGTTGGGCTTTGCTCACTGTATGAAATATAGAAAAGTTGGGAGTTCTATTTTTTGGTCTGTTGCCTCATAAGTTATTTAATAAGATAGCTTTAAAAGTCAATATCATGCACTAAAAGAATCAGAAAGAAGGTAGAAAAGGATATCTGCCTAATAGTAGAAGTGCATTAGTTGATAATCTACAGCAATGGCTCTCCTAGAGTCTAAAATAAGTGATCAACTGTCAAATGAGAGATCTCAATTCTTCCTGAAAATCTTTCCTCAGTTTACGATTTTGGCAAATGACTCCCTTTTCAGTCCAATTTTTACATTATACTTGAAATAATCTCTTATTCTAACATTAAGGAAAGAGTTGTCATCAAAAACTTAGTTTCAGAGAAATTTTTTAAAGGAAGGAAAGGAAATAATTTCATTTTAGATGTCTAAAGATTTATAAGAAAGTAGGAAATGTTTTCTAGTGTGTTCTTTATCTCCTCCAGTCAGTATTTGTCTGTATTTTTATACGCCAAAGGGTCTGTAGTAATCTGGAGAGCTTATGGCTGTGGTTTTCATGATTGAATGACTCGTGTGGCATGCCACCATGTTCATGTGGCCTTTAAGAGCCATATTAGTTGGCTTAACTCAAAGCCTCCCAGCTTTCCTAAAGCTCAGTAATAGGCACAATGCCACTAACAGAAAGAGAATAGTAATGTGATAGGTACTAAAATGGGGAAAACAAGGTGAAAATTGATGTATTAGACATTCTAAAACATAATTCACCTTTATTATATCCCATGACTGAAAATTTTCCATTAGGGTGATGTAAATAACAGAAACCTATTTTGTAGACGGTGATACATTATTATTTTATTGCAGTTATTTGGATAATAAAAGTTCAGTCAAAAAAAGAACTATATACAATTCTTTCAGAGTAAAATCTCTACCAGTGGAAACTAAATTAAATGCCAGCAATTGTCTATTCAGGATTTTTAACAATGAGATAAATTGTGAGAGTTTTAATTTTCAAAATTTTAACTGCTTGGATAGGATATTTTAGTCATACAAAAACTCTTTGAAAAAGTGTCAAGCTCTATTAAAAGCTTAATAAGATATCATGAAATAACAACTACAAGATCTCTTAAATATTCTAAAGCTAGATGGAAAATATAAAGAGATCAAGAATTCACCCAGATAGGAACATTTCCTTGTTGTAGGAAAAAAAATTGTTTTAAACCCTAAAGAGTTCCTTTTCAAATAAATTAATCAAAAAAAATTTCATGGAAGTGGCACTGTGGCTCAAGTGGTAGAGCGCTCACCTTTAGCTGAAGAGCTGAGGGACAACGCTCAAGCCTAGAGTTCAAGCTGATTATTTTGCAGACATTTTATTATTTTGCTACTAAATCTATACAATGATTTGGGGAGGAAAAAATTAATAATGAAGGTTTAAAGAGAAGGCAATATCAACTGTAAAAGTTCAAAATCCAGTGTTGAATTGTTTAGCGAACATTGAAGTTAGCTTTATTTAAACATATATATTTAAACATATATATATATATATATATATATTCCTGATTCTGTTGACTAATTCTCACAAAGATGCTTGGTTTTCATTTTAACTATGGCCTCCCACATGAGGGCTCCTATCTCCTCAGAGGGGATTTCCAGGAGGCCATCTGGCAGCTGTTCAGAAGTGAACCTAGCCAGTTCCTCCCAGGCAGGTGGCCAAGATTTCAGTTAACTCCTTCTAGCCTGGCTAAAAATGGCCCCATGTGGTTACAAACCTTCAAGCCAAGGCCTGAGTCTCACTTGGAGGCCATAGTGAGAACTAGAAGAGAAGAGGTGCTGATTTGGTCCCAAAGGGTAAGGAGGCCAACACCCACCTGGCACAGACACTGGCATGTGCAACCTGGATAAGATGGCTTTGGCCTTGCCACACTAAAGGAAGTCTGGGAGAACTTGATGTCACAGCACTATGAGAGAGGGATGTGGGAAATGAAAGTTCATTTTCCGCTACCCTAGTCTCTTACATTTAGAGTGGCCCAAGATCTGTCCAGATTTCTAAAAAAAGGGGGGGCGTCAGAGAGAGACAAGTGGTATGTTTTCTTAGGCTGAAGCATTGAGCCATTAGAGAGCACAGTTGAAGACAGAAAGGGTAAGATCAGAGAAGCATATTAGAAGGCCTCAAAATGGCTTCAAAGAGGTCAAAACCAGAACTTTCTTAAGGGAGAATCTAGAGTGTAACCCCAAACCACTTTGATTTACACAAGTGCTTCCTGGCTTTTTTGTCCCAATTCTGCAAGATAAGCATGTTCTTTTGTGTGTCTGTCTTTAATGTGACCATCCTCAGCAATGCACTCAAGAAGCTATTCACTGTGACTTAAATCCATCTTCTGTGCTTCCTTCCTTCAGGGGCTGACGCTAAGCCAACTGTCTCCGTCTTCCCACCATCTCAAGAGCAGTTGAATACTGGGAGTGCCTCCGTAGTGTGCTTTGTAGATTCGTTCTACCCCAGTGATATTAACGTGAAGTGGAAAGTTGATGGTACTTCCAAGACAGACGGCATCCTGGAAAGTAAGACGGAGCAGGACAGCAAGGACCTCACCTACAGCCTCAGCAGCACCCTAACAATGACCAGTACAGAGTACGAAAGCCATAATCTCTTTGTCTGTGAGGTCACCCATAAGACTCTGACCTCCCCCATTGTCAAGAGTGTTAAAAAGAATGAGTGTTAGAGCTAGAGGCCTACCAGGCACCCACACCTGCTCCTCAGGTCAAGCCTCGCTTTTCTATAGGCCTTTTCCCACAGGGGATAGGCCCTGTTGCTATCCTCCAACTCCTCTCCCCACCTCATCTCCCCTCCTCCTCCTTAGCTTGAATCATGATGATATTGGGGGGGAAACGATGAATAAAGTGAATCTTTGCACTTGAGATCTTTCTCGTTCCTCATTTATTGGTTGTTATACATTGTTCTTCCAATTATATAGTCTATCTTCTAAGAGATGAAATATTGAGTTGCCATAAAACGTACCACTATTTTTTTAATCTGTCATTCTACTGTCCACTACAAGCCCCCTCCCACCCTCCAACATCCATACAATCTGTTTGCACCTCCGTCCCGAGTCAGAAGGGGAGAGACTTGCTGCCTTGTTATCTCCTTCTCAGCAAGGTGGTAGTTCATACAGCCCCATACCCTTGGATAGAATTCAGACCTACCCTGAGAACTTAGTGAAGGAAGAATAGCAACATGATATGAAATAACAAAACAACTGAACCAGCCTAAATGAAAAAACAATACAGAAATGTCTAAATCCATCTTGGTACTTGGTCTTAATGGAAACTTGGGACTCCATTACATTTTTAAATATGTCTTGATGGGAAACTCCTATGTGCCCAAAGCCAATACTGAGCACTTGCCACAAGGCAACTTATTTCTCACTACACTATGAGGCCAAATAAATTTATTAAAATGTTGGGCAGGCTCTAGAAAGCTGAAAAACATTTATTATCTATAACCAAAAATCCCACTCCTATATGACTATGTCTCTGTCCACCAAAAACTTAAGCAAAAATGTCCAGAGTAGCCTTCTTCTATTAAAGTAAAATATTAGAAATAACCCAAATGTCTACCATTAGTGGACCCAGTTATTGAATTGAGATGAACTACCATTCAATAAAAAGAACTAACAACCATACCAGATGACATAGATAATACCACTAATCATGATGCTAGTAAAAGGAACCAAATACTAAAGAGACATTCTGGATGTTTTCATCCATAAACAGTTGAAACCAGAAAAAAATAAAAATAGAAATTGTGGAAGGAGGGGTTACTGAGGGCAGAGTTCAAGTAGTAGCAAGCATAAAGCCCTGAGTTCAAATCCCAATACTGTCAAAAGACAGAAAGAAGGACTGAAGAAGGAGTTACTCTTGGATGGGGATAGGGAGAGGTAATGCCTGGAGGGAGACAATAAGGAGCATCAGAGAGGTTAAATAATGATCCATTCTTCAACATGGGAGCATGTCACTTTGTGAAAATATCTTGAGTGGCATTAATACTATCTATGCACCCTTCTATATATGTCTTATACTTCAAAAATGTCACATGAAGAAATGTTTATAGGTAAGAAAGGCTGGGAACAATAAGTCAGAGGTCAAGGCCAGATGGTGGTAAGTGGGAACCCAGCATCAAATCTTCCCCTACCTAATTCTGCTTTCTTGAGCACTCTACCATTCTACCTCTCCAGATTCTACTCCATCCATCTAACCAAGAGCATCCATATAAATGGAATGAAACAGGTCTCAGAAAGGGAACAAAAGACAGAAGCAACGTTGTCCAAATATGAGGAACCTGTGTATAAAAGGGCATACTTCTCAGTTCTAAACATGAGCTGTGAATCAAAGAGCCTTCACCCTACCATTCACTGACTGTGTGACCCTGAACAAGTGTCTCTACCTCTGTCGGCTTCATTGTCTCACCTGTAAGATGTAGCTAATGATGGGAGCCACATGAGATTGGAAAAACATGTGAAAATTAAAAGTTATAGCAGGAAGTGGAGATATGGTTCAAGTGATAGAGCACCAACTTTGAGCAAAAAATAATAGCAAACACTGTATAAAAAGCCCATCATACTGCCTGTCTCATATTCAAAGCTAGGTGAAGCTGGCTGTTGAATGAACACATATCAATTATCACTGGTCTGTATCATAATCTCTCTAACTCCAAGCCCCATGAGGTCCATGGTTGTCTTAGGCAGATATGAGGAATGAGACAGGATAGGAGAAAAAGAAAAGCAAGGAAATTAAAGAGGGAAGAAGAAATAAAAAGAGAGGGGAAGGGGAAAAAGTAACTTCTTCATCTGGGAAAAGATGCTCAACCATGCCATGCACTCATCATTTGCAGGGTAAGCATCTTCTCTCTAGGTCAGAAATTGCCTCTTAGCACACTAGCAAGTGCCACCTAGCAAGTGTGAAAAATCAGTCATCCCAAGAGAGAAGAGGCAAGCCATACCCATAGCCCAGAACTGGACACCAATTACTGGACAACAAGAATGCCTAGACATCCTCAAAGCAACATGTGAATCATGTGTAGATCAAAACAAAATAGTAAAAGTTAAAACCTCCTAATAGCAAAATTAGAGTGATAATGAATGTTCATTAGTGACATGAAACTGAGACCATCCAATTAATAATCCACCATCTCTTCCTGCCCCTCTTATTGGCCACCTATAATACTTTGAGTACTTAAAGTAACTTGGAGTCTATGATTTACCATCAGTAAGACAAAGAGCTTCATCCATGACCTCAAGGTCTTTTTCCACCTCTAATGTCTATACATCAGAGTATACTCTGTGGCTTCAAAATCATATTTCCTGAAGTTGGTGCTAGTCATATCTTTGTTCCAACAAGTCCTCAAGCAAGTTACCATTTTGAGTATATTATTTTGGAGAAAAAGAAAATGGAGGTGAGAGTCTGAGGGAAAATGAAGAAAAGGAAATTCTGAGAGGGAGAGGAAAGAAAGGCAAAAGAAGAAGCAAAGGCTGACTAATGGAGCATGATAGATAATGAAAAGGGGAAAGAGGAAGCCAAGATATATGTTTGTTTCATTGTCTTTTTACACTGGGCCTTGGTCAAGGCATTGGCAATCACAAGATTTAACTCTCTTGTTGCTTTCAAGCAACTAGGACTTTTTTGAGTTCATGTGCACATCAAATCTTTTCATCTTCTCATAGCAGGCACCACTCAAGCCATGTACATGTACTGACAGAGGAGAAGGGTTGTTATAAAAGTTAACAATGTGAGGGGCTGGGAAGGTGGCTCAGTGGTAGAGTGCTTGCCTCACATGCATAAGGCCCTAGGTTCGATTCCTCAGCACCACATAAACAGAAAAAGCCAGAAGTTGCGCTGTGGCTCAAGTAGTAGAGCACTTGCCTTGAGCTGAAGAGCTGAGGGACAGCGCCCAGGCCCATGACCGACCAAAAAAAAAAAAAAATCACTGCCAGGTGCTGATGGCTCACGCCTGTAATCCTAGCTACTCAGGAGGCTGAGATCTGAGGATCACTGTTCAAAGCCAGCTTGGGCAAGAAAGCTCATGAGACTCATATCTCCAATTAACCACTCAGAAAACCAGAAGTGGTGCTGTGGCTCAAGTGGTAGAGCGCTCACCTTGAGCTGAAGAACTGAGGGACAGCGCCCAGGCCCAGAGTTCAAGCCCCACAAATGACAAAAAAAAAAAAAGTTAACAATGTGAAATGTGACATTTTACTAATCTAAACTGTTGACTAGAGTGGCCAACAGAAGACTTAAGTCTGAGTTACTAGAACACAAGTCAGGGTCTGATGATAGCCTCTGCCCATGGCAGAGCACCATCAGGGGACAGACAAGTCAGCCATTATTATGAGCCTAGAGAAATGCAGATGATAAATATGTGACTATTGCCTTTCCCACATCATTGTATATAATGACCTGAAAACATGCTCACAAGTCATAATGAGTGAACGTGAGCAACTACTGAAGCGAAAGAGCAGAATGTACTAGAATTAATTTTTCTGAGTAGTATGAAAAGTCCAAGTTTCTTCTTTTTCATATGACTATGCCCTATTAGTTTTTAAAGACTTTCTCCTATTTTGGCATCTTTAGTGAAAAACCACTAGTAATGTAAGTTGAGACTATATCTAAGCTCTCCATTTCATTCCACTGATCTATTTGACCATCCATGTGCCAATAAACATTGACTTGATCATGAAGCTTCGGAGCTTTTTTTCAAACACATTAAGTCTGATGTCTGTTAGAAAACCAAGAGGAGAGGTCATGTATACAGTAAAATATTAAGAGTCTAGAATTCAAGGAAGAAGGATCAAAGTGCTATTGCTATATGGTTGACATTTTAAAAAAATAAAGAGAACCTTTAGACTAGAGAGAGGTCTCAACCAGTAGCATAGAGAATTCCAAACACTGAGCTGGGAAGCTTAACATTAGTAAACTGACAAAATGATGAAGAACAGAAAAGAAAATTGGAAAGGCTCAACCAGAAAAGAGAAATCAGAAGAGTGGTGATGTTGTGGAACCCAAGAGAAGAAATTGTACAATGAGGTTGAATTTTTCAACTGTGCTGATGGTTGATAACAGGTCAATGGAACTGGGCCACTGGTTTTTAGCAGCATCAGGATCGTTGGTGACCTAGAGAATATTATCTGTACCATGGCAGAGGCAGTAGAGCAGAAGGGTTCAGAAGAAATGGGAGAAAAGAAATTGGAGCTGGTGTGCATGGGCAACACTTTTGTTTCTTGCCATTCCTGGCCTGAACTCAGTGCCTGGGCACTGTCACTGAGCTTCTTTTGCTCAAAGCTAGCACTCTACCACTGGAGCCATGGAGCCACTTCTGGCTTTTTCTGTTTATGTGGTATTGAGGAATCGAACCCAGGGCTTCATGCATGCTAGGCAAGCACTCTACCACTAAGCCACGTTCCCAGCCTGGACAACTCTTTAAAGGAAAGAGTTAGAACAGTGAAGGAGAAATATGAAGCAGTAACTGAAAGAAGAATGGAAAGGGAAGTTGAGTCCACAAAGAGTATGTTTAAAATGGACAGAAATGACAGCATTTTTTAATTCTGAAGATAATAGTTCAGTAGAGGGGCAATGTCAAAGGAGAGATTCAGAAGAAAGGAAAAATTGCTGGACAATGTTACTGGTTAGGTAGAAGGGTGTGGGTGAAGGTAACAGTAACATGAAAGAAGGGACTGTCAAGGGCATTGGTACAGAGAGGCCCACACACATACTGGAAATTGTTCATAACTTTTCTAGTAAATGTGTATTATTTTGATTTTTTTAGGTTTAGGAATTCAGGAAGAGCCTGTAGATTGGTTTAAACAAGGCTCTAATCAGGATGAAGAATAGGCAAGACAAAAGATCTCATCAGAGAATGTCCTCAT